AGCACCGAATTTTTCATTGTGTTATACAGTGTCGCCTTTGCACTTTGTTGGAAAGCACCTTCATGTACTGGCAGCTCATTTCGATTTCACTTCTTTTTCTACTGTCTTGAACTTTTTTAGGGGGATCTTCTATTTTTCTATGATACTCATTTCGCCCGCGTTGCCGAAATGGTATGTGTTTGTCGGTGTGTCGAAATTGCCGTTAGGTATTGTTAGTTTTTGTCACCGACGGTTACGCAGCGTGGGAACGCGGTTCTCACGGTCGGCGATTCGGTAAACGTTCGATGTGTTTTTGTATCTCGCCGTGTTTCTTAATCTACCGTCTTAATTCTAATTAATCTAATTCTATGTAGCGAAGCGATTCTTCGTCTTGTAACAGATAGCGTCGGTTTTTTGTTACAACCTGTATATTTTTACTACTAATTACAAACTAAATACTTTCTTTTTCTCAAAAATATCAAAATGTATTGGCAAAAGTAAAAATTTCCACCCTACAATTTTGTTTTCGATATGGATTATAAACTTGAATTTATAGAAAATATTGTTTCTCTTTTTCTTATATAAAACTACATGTATTTTACAATCAAATAAAAAAAGAAAGGGAAATTATGTTTATTTTAAGAAAAAATTATTATAGCTAATTTTTAAAAATGTCTTCTAAACGACACATTTTAATATGTTACATATTTGAAATACAAAGTAAAAATATTATCAAAATAATAATATATTATTTTTTACAATCTTCCTTCTTAATTAAAATATTATTTCATTTCAATTATAAGTATTTTATTTTACATACTTTTGAATTGAATTTTATTTTACAATCCTTTTCAATTAAAATTTTTGTTAGTTAAAATTAAAATTCGATATTACGATTTTACCAATACTGAACCTAGGGTAGAAAATAAAACAATGTTTCATGAATGCATGAAATTGTACGTGTTATGACTAAAACTGTAATTAGGTGAAAAATTGCTGTACAAGTATTCCGCGTATAATAGAGTCATTGGATAGTCTACAGTTTTTATAAAAGAATGTGTCGAGACATCTGTCATTGAATAAGATCGGAAGTTCAAGGGAAGGTAAAGAAGATCACGCGACATTATTATACAAGTGTATACGTGTGACTGAATGTCGAAGATTCTCCTCTAGAAATCTCGGACCTATTTTCGTGCTTGAGCACTCGACCGTGACGGGTAAATCTTCCCGTGTACAAAGGATTTCATAAAGTAGGTGGAACTTGTAAAGTGACCTTTTATGGTCCCGATGAATGAGTGTCACGTGAACTACCGACACAATCCACCCGGGATTTTCCAGTTTTCTGTGTAGTCTCTGGGCCATGGAAGATCGAATGACTCTCGTGTGAACCAGCAAACGAACTTAAAACGAGAACAATTTTCACCATGTTCCCCGAGATTGTTGGCATTCTTCGCTTTTGAGTGACAGGCACATGACGAAGCGGTAATTGATCTTCTTCTGGCTGAGGTCAGAAGTTAAAGTTCGTTTGTGGTTTTCAATTCGCCTTTATTAACCCGTGGAATCAGTTTATTCTTGAAATAAATAACTTTCGTTTCTATACAAATTAAAGAAACATACTTTGTGTATGCAATAATGAGAAAAACTGAACTAGTCATAAAATTTTATGTAAATAGTGTTTTTTATTGTCTAAACGTTTAAAAATGCAGGAAAATCAACGTTGCTAACGTTACTAACTGAGTTGAGCCGTTTTAAACCGTTTTATTCGCTGTTTTCGACATCCTCATATCTCGTAAATCAGTAAGTTTCAACAAAATGTCATTCATGTCCTCGTAACCTTGCCCGTACTGGTTTTCAAAACAAGATTTTCATCCGTGTTAGCAGGTTGCAAATAAACACGACGACAATAAAAAGAGATTTGCTTTAATCAGTAAAATAATTGTATTCTGAAAAGAACACTTCACCTTTCGAACTTACAACGACGCAGTCGGTTTTCTCTTTTTAAAAAGAAGCAACGGTTAAACAGGTTACTACGCATCTTTTGTACGAATTGCAGCATTTATACAGGTTAGGTTGTAACAGAAGGCGCGAATCCTTTATTATATTCAAACCATTTAAGTTGCATTCTCAACAATCCGTTCAAAACCCCGCAGCTATATTCAATGTACGAGGGCATCAAAACGTCGTCTTTTTATAATCTTAACCATAAACATAAATGCAATGCTGCAACTCAATGCGTAAGATGCACACCGGTAAATCAAAACTTCAGGATATTTCCTCGCGTATCTCGTATGTGTTTTTCGTGTTATCCCACTTCTGGTAAGACACGAATAAAGGTTGAATAGAAAAGGATGGTTTATTAACAACGTTATTTTTACAATGCAAGCTATGGCTGAAACTGGCGTCATGTTATAAACAAATTCTTTATTACAAACAAATTTTTTTTTATCAAATTTAGGGCCTGATTTTATATGCAGATAGAAAACCATAAAACTTTTATTTAAAAAGTTTTCTTCTATCTATGATAGTTTCGGGGACGGTCTATTGCAGCTGAAGCTAAATATGAAAACGGCCCAAAATAAAAGAAATTCGTATATCTTATTTTATTTTATTAGGGAAAGGATAGATGCTGTTATGCTAGAATGACGTCGCAATATATCAATTTCACGTTAGCAGTCCTCCACAGTAAGCGCCATCTCATAACGATTGCCTGAACTAAATTTGTTACTCGACTTGCTCTACTATTATCCACAAAATGGCGGAACTCGTTTTTGGAAATGCAATTACGGACCGTCGTTTTTTGTCCTTATATGAGCATATTTTAGGCTGAATGAGGGCTCATTCGAAAGAGGAAGGTCCAACGAAAACTCTGGTCATCGTTTAAGTCACAAAATTCTTTTAATAACCTAAAAATACTTCCATTCTGCGACTGTATTTTGCTCGAATTAGCTCGACTTTTGACGCTCATGGTATTAAATATCAACACAATCTCGTTCAACTATGATCAGAGCCGCATTCTTTGGACCTTCCTCTTTCGAATGAACCCTCATTCAGCCTAAAATATGTTCATATAAGGATATAAAACTACGGCCCGCAAACCCGTATTTCGAGTCAAATTTTGTTGGTATATAGACACTGCATTACGCGTGTCTACCCCCGTAGCTAAGACACCCTAATAACACAGCAGTTCAATCTGATCACGTTTTATGCTCCACCCTCTATTGTCAGTCGCCAGAGACTGATGCACAGTGCATTTGCACAGAAAAACCGGACGCAGGTAGTTTAAAATTTATTCAATCTTCAAATTGCCATAACTGCGTTAAGAATGCTTCAAAATTTATGGAACAACCACCATTTTACAGCGTAAGATTTCTACTTTTAAATGCAGTATGTCGTTTTTATCAAAATGGCTGCGAGAAGGGTAAAACCTTTCCAATTTAATCTTTTTAAATGTATTGTGTTATATGACATGTAAACAATATTTCGTGCAATTTTTGTGTATAGTATCTAAAGATATGCTTATTTGCTTTCAATATGAGTCAAACCAGATCGACAATATCTTTTAACTAGGATATAGATTTTTAAGGTAACTTGTGATTTTCACATTTTTTATGTCCAATATACGTACGTTTACGTACATAATGTACTATATTATAATCTTACTAAAATTGGTAACATTTTTTAAACATTTTTTAAATATAATAACTATGTACATATGTATAATTAAAAAGTTCTAATGGTTGAAAAGTACTCTATAGACCTTTAATGTGTTGCGAGTCCGTGCGGTTTTATTTTAAGGACTTAGGGTTTTTCTGGCGTTCGTGCTGCACGTGACAAAATTATTAGAACTGCGTGCGAGTTAGTCAGGAATAAGTTAATTTAAGATAAATTAAGAAATGTAATATGAACTTTATTATAACTGTTTAAATATAACTAATTTAACATAAAAGTTGAATTTCTTTACTTTAAATACAAGCTTTTACAATAGACGTCTATACTAGTTAACGGTCGCTATGCGAGTGAGTATTAACAAATTGTTTTAAATAAAATGCAATCAAAAAAAAAAAAAAAAACGAAATACCGTAAATTCAAGAAAATCGTAGTTGGCGCCAAACTAACTTCAAATAGAATTGCCAAACGCAAAGGCTCATTCACATTCCATAACAACGGGCAAACGGGTCTCCGCTGCCATCTAGGAGTGACATGGGAATTAATTTATCTCTATCAAAAGTAGCGATACGCAACAAATGCAAGAATGTATATTATTTTGTCAAAACATTTAAAGATCGGTTATAAGCAGACGTTGTTTCACAAAGACGACTGACGAAGAAATGTATACCACGAAACTTGTAACTTTCGACGAAGTACACTGCTTTATGAGTGCATAAATGAAAAAAAAACAATATTGGTATATTATTCTTCACATATTTGACTACCTTAAACATTAAAAAATTGTTGACCTAGGTGAAATTTTTGAAATTGACTTTTGTGCGGCTTTTCGGCGCAAATACTCCACTATGTGACATAGCGCTTAAATTCAAGAGTCTCGTATTTCGCTGGTGGTGTTTCTATTGGCATCGCGGCATCGTGAGGAACAGGGCATCTCAGAATAATGGAGCAGCCAATGACATCTCTTCGATCACAGAATGACTTGACTCAAAACTTGGTCATCGAACGATCAAACTTAACTCCCAGGATTTTAAGATCGATTTGTCATTGTTCCTATGTTTGTGATACTCGGAACAATAACTCGAGCATAGACATACGGTACATGAAAATACACGGTATGTATAAACCGAGCCTTTATACGAGGTGTAACTGACGATCAGTGATCTTCAATCTGTTGTTTCTGAAAATTGAAACTAATATTAATCATTCTGTAACACTGTTATGGTATTTAATATATTCTTGTATGTGCATAATAATAAAAATACTACAGTCTTTTCTATTATCTATAATCTATTATCTTTTAAGACCAAATATATAAGATTTTACATTGCAAGGAAATTTAGAAGTATTCAAACAATCTTGGATTCTAAATATTAAATTTTTAAAAAAATTACTTATTTCAATTATTATATAGTAAATTTTATATTTAACTTTTATTTTATATTATTTGTAATATTCCATTGTTATATAAATATTTGGAGTTAAGAGCATGTATTTCTGTCATTCTTTTATTTAATAATTAATGTAAATGTTTTATAAAAAGGACACATTAATATAATACGAGGAATGTAAAGGAAAATAAAAAAAATTTGTACAGAATATATGTTTTTTTTATTGACCTTTAAATAATATTAATTTTTTGAATTTATGTATATCGTTTATTTCTGAGCTTTGTATATAATGTGTCAATCTTGTTTTTGCATACAATTGTATAATAGCACACAATAAATGGTTACAGTGATTAGCGAAAAAATCTTAATCATTTATGTGCTCCCTTAAGTCTAAAAATGTATTTTTATCTACAAAGTAAAACATAATTTCATTTATAAACTTATTTATATTCAATTGATCAAGTATTTTATGAATATGTATGTAAATGGTTATAATAACGAACCCCTGTTTTTAATATTAAGTAGCAATTAGCTTCTGTATTTTGTGTAATTAATGCTTCAATGCATTCAGAACAGTGCAAAATTTTCCTGAGTCTTCTTAATATTAATAAAACCAGCTATGTAATTGATAATTTCATTTTTATATTCTGTAAAAAATGGATATTGAATATGTAAATTGTAATCGTGATCAGTTGGTGTTGCATCAAAAACATTAAGCCAATTTTCGTAGGAATTCTGACTTATACTTGCATTTATAACAGTAATAGGATCACGTGTTGATGATGTATGCAATATCGGAATATTTTCTAAAGGTATACAGTTACCAGTTGTTGTGTCTTTTATTTTTTTTTTTAAGGTATGTTCGCCGATTACACCGAGATGATTTAACCAATCGGAATGAAACCTGTTGCATCTTGTAGAGGATATCTCCCCGGTGGTCCAGATATCAAAACTCTTTGCGATTTTTCATTTTTTACCTATTTTTTAAATGTAACTCTGCAAGAAATTAAACGATCGAGATGACAATTTTCACATTTAATGACAGCTGATTTCATGATGCTCGAATTTGCAAAAATTGATGAATCCTCAGTTCCGCAGTGATTAACAGAAAACTGGGCTTCAGTTGTTTTTTCTAAGTGTCTCGTTCGCTGGGAGATGATTTGGAGTGTTTCTTTGTATTGATAGAAGCCGCCGTAATCTTTCCGTTTCCGTTAATGCTTTTTCGTCGTGCGGTTTTACCGCGAAAATAATACTATAAAATAGTACACCCTTAAATTATTGCTATCATTATGTATACTTTAGACACCACATACATTAATATTATTCAATGTCGCCACCTCCATCAAATACTATCCCAAACCTACTCAGACAGTATTTTCATAGAGTATACAGGGTGTTCAAAAAAATCAATCAATATTTATATTGTGTATAGGGCGCACTGTACTGAGTAAAAAAGCTTTAGTAAACATAGGTCCAAAGGTCAACCGTTTCTGAGATATAAACATTTTTGTTTGCTAGTATTATGATTGACTTACTACTGGGTTTTCGATATTTATAGAAGATTTTCCACGTGTCCACTGCTCATTTCTGTACACGAAATTAAAAAAATGAAATTGACGAAATTGTCGGCACTTGAATGGGGACATTCTGAACGCAATTTATAAACACTGACATAAACATGGCATGCGATGGAAGCAAGTAAGTTAATCATGATACTAGCAAACAAAAATGTTTAGATCTCAGAAACGGTTGACCTTTGGACCTATGTTTACTGAAGCTTTTTTACTCAGTACAGTGTGCCCTATACACCATATAAATATTGAATGCTTTTTTTGAACACCCTGTATACATTAGCAGTAACCAATATTTCCACCTCAGCCCCCGCAAAAAAGAATGCCTCAAAGCTACTGAGACAGTATTTTCATGTAGATAGTATGGATGTATACATTAACTGCAATATTGCCGCTCGCCAATTAAAAATTTTTATTTTTGCGCCAACTACAAAATGGTTATTTAACATAATCGAATATAAAGGAAATAGAAATTTAATATATCATTCAATATATTTTAAAGCCAGTGTTGTAAAGTGTTGATCGATTTTAATTACAAGGTAAGTTGCCAAAATCTGAATTGCCAGGTATCTCTATCCATACCAGAAAACTGTTTTTAATTTAAACTTTGTATGTAGAGCTTATAGAAGCGAAGGGGACTCGCAGGCTTGGAAGTTGTCCGGAGAAGGTTATAGACGGAGATAAAATTGTTAAGTGTCGATCAAAAGACATAAAATTAAGAATATTACGGTCAACTACTTGCAATGTAGTTGTACTCTAATGTACTCCTTAGACACTTTCCAATATTTTATGAATATTCCTTTAAAAAAGACCAACAACAACTTCAATGCTTGTCATTAATTTTATTAGTTTCTCATTAACAGTATTTCAATTTACTGATAAACATCTTAGATTAATTTCTTTATTTTAACACAGTAAATTGTGCGTTAGAAATAGTGGATCTCTTTGTTCATTTTTTCACTTCATCATTAACATTTAAATTTCTTGCAACAAAACTTTGTGCCATGCGTATCGCGTACTTTCGAAAACTTAAAGGACGGAAACTGGTCTGTTTTCTATATCTGGCTTGAGACACATTATGTATTGTAGACTCTACGCTTACTATAATAAAAAACTATTGTATTTTTATTTTAAACTCTACGGTAATTTGCAACTAAAATATGGTTTGTATGTATCATTTTCAGATGAAATTAATATCATATGAAATATATAGTATATTCGCTTTCGAGAATTTTTTTCAGAAATGTATTAAAAACATTGAAAAATTCAAGGACGGCATTTTATTAAATGCATATTAATGTGAAAAACAAAATTTGTTTATATGCTTTCTTCTAAAATGGCGGCTTTAGTACTTAAGATTTCAGAACACCTTTTACTCGAGGCCTGAAACGGGCGAAGGGAAATGTCGTCGGGATCTTCTGTACTTGTGTCACTTCTTATACGAATAAAACTGTGTATTTATAAAAATGTCACTAAGTATAGTTGATATCTCTTACAGTATAATTGATACCGTAGGTATTTTGACTTATTTTTAGATATCAATTATACTTAGTGATTTTTTCATAAATACACAGTTTTATTCTTGTAAGAAGTGGCGCAAATACAGAAGACCTCGAAGACATCTTCCCTCCTCGCTCTCGCGATAGTAAACAGGGAAAGTCTTTTGTCGGGCCCCTACCTCCACCAAAGATTTCCAGAAAATGACAGTGTAAGTCAAAATACCTACGATACCAATTATACTTTTTTTTTACAACTTTTTCTTGAACCGGATTTTTACTTCTTTTGGGTTTCGTTAATTTAAAAAGAAAAATATAATAGGTTCAGATCCCACTATAATCTTAAAATTAAGGTAATTAAATTTGCTGCAACTTCCTTTCACATGAGTTAAGTGTAGCATGAGTATTTATGTCAATATACTGGTCGAAAGTAGGCCAAACATTACAACTTCCACTTTTTAGGAAAATTTGTCAATTTTCCCAGAACTGCATCTCTGGAACTAATGGAGCTACAGAGCTCCAACACGTCTCAAATTGTAGGCAATTTTATCTACTTAAAAAAATGAAATGCCTCCTTTGGTGACTTTATTGTGAAAAAGTAAAAAAAAGTGCGAAAATTTCGCAGTTTTTCGGCTGTAACTCGGCTGGTTCACGTTTTTTAGGGTTCCCAATCTGGATTTATACTATCTGGATGGTCTCTAACAACATATAAAAAATACAACTTAACAGTATTTTAAAATGTTTGGCAAAAAAATTGTCTAATATGACTGGCCTATGGGAAAGCATTCGACAACGACCTCTTTGAGATCTTAAAACTTTAAGGACACACATTAATAAAAAAAATCGATTCTTTGAAGTTTCTAGAACGATCTTACTCCTTAAAAAAATAAGGAATCTGTGTATAAATCACAAAACTAACATTCATTTAGTATTTAGTATTTAGTATTTAGTATTTATATAATTACAAGTAGAAAAACAAGCTTGGCGACGAAATGCTAAAAATGCATACATACTTTTCTTCAAAAGGTGTTAATTTTGGTTGTTATTACAGTTCAATGTTCAATACGTTCCGCGCCAAAGGTTGCTTTCAGCGCCATAAGTTTCTTCGCGCATCATGAACTGTACACAAAATACTATACGTATAATATGAAAATTATTTGAAGTCATTCGCTATGCAAATTATCTTTGTAAAAAGAAGTGTGATCCCCATAAAAAACTTCAAAAAAGTAAAAAAATTACGCCAAGTACATGAAAAAGTGGAGGACTTAAAGAGTAATCATAGAAAAATAGAAGATCCCCCTAAAAAAATTCAAGAAAGTAGAAAAAGATGTGAATTCGAAATGAGCTGCCAGTACATGAAGGTGCTTTCCAGCAAAGTGCAAAGGCGACACTGTATAACATAATGAAAAATTCGGTGCTCTCTAACTATGCGCAGCTAAAATGCTGTGTTCAACAGTGCTGACGTTCAGATCCTAGTGACAACTCATGTAAAGTGACTGCTCCGCACTGTAGCGATAAAATGAAAAAGCTAAATAGCGTATCAGCCACCATAGTAGCAATTATTGTTGGCATTTTGATGGGCCATTGACGTGATATCGGTTAGCCAACGGTTAGGATTGTCACCCTTTTCTTCAACTAAGCCAACGATCACCCATCCAATGTAGGCCCCACGTTACTTTCAATATAAAAGGCCAACTGAAAATTCTTTTCCGTAGGGCCAACTCTTGACTAGGTACAATAAACTAACAGTAGGCAGACAATTGGCTCTACTACACTTCAATAAAACAGCTTCCAGAATGTTTTTTGGAAATTATCTCTTTTACATATGAGATTTATACTTTAATTGAATAATAAAATTAAAATAAAAACCAATTTGTATATTTGAAAAATATTTTATTTGAAATTTTGTAATGTTAGTCTTTTATTCAACTTTTGGATATGTAACGTTCACTAACGGGCATTATCCCGCCTTGTAAAGTTTTATTAAATTTTGCCATTAATTTATATGAAGGCCACATGCATTCTATTTTTAAAGACGTAAGCCACTCCGATCGTACAACACCAACACTTCCATTGTCACCATCTTGAGTTGCTTCAAATTCAATTACTTTGTACATTATGTAAAAATAAAGTAGAAGAAATATTATATACGAAGCGCGTCTAATCGTGATAAATGCACGCGTTCAACTGCATTAGTGCCTCGACGCTTCCTACCGTCGCCTTCGTCGACCAATTTCTTGTTTTATAACCGTCGTTGTTAGGAACAAAAATGCACATGAACTGAAAATGTATATTAAATAGAACGCAATAAAACAATGCGCATTACTGTTGTACGAACGGATCTTTCACTTTCCATATTAAATTACTACTTACCTGCTTTACATTAGAACGGATCATCAAAGGATCATCTGCAAGACGGCATGCAACTGCACACAACTCCGACTGTTTAAAAATTTGCCTAGATATCCACGGCCTGAAAGTCAATTGCTTGGCGTGTATACTGACAGCTCATTTCGATTTCACATTTGTCTCAACTTTCTTGTAATTTTTAATGAGGTCGTCGACTCGACGCACGGAACGCTATTTTTCTCTATCTCGTTTAAAAGTCCAATGGTATGCATTGTCGGACACGACGATACTTTGTTTCAATGAAGAGGTATTCTAAGAGACGCAAAATCGTGCGAGGGCGTGACTGGAAACACTTGGACGTTCTACATCTAGATTCGCTTCGTGGCCTAGTGGTCGTAGAACATACGGTACTCGTCGTTTTCTCAGCGGCAAATCCCGCTTCGGGTAGAGACATCCCCGTAGCATATCGAGCAGAGCCGGAACAACTAGCCGAGGCAATGGTAATGACACTTGATACTCGACCGTCCCGAAGAACGCCTGACCCGGAAACCGACCCGAGGCCATTTTTCGAGTCTCCGTCCAGGCGGACGCGACGTTGCCCCGCGATCTAGATGCTCGATCCTCTTAAGCGTCCCACAGACTGCTCTGACGTGACGTGGGCCCACGTCAGACACGAAGCGGTGTCAGATTGGCGTCTGCGCGTAGCTCAAGAAATCAACTGACGATGCCGTGCAACGGTTGGTTTTATGAGCTACACGCAGGCGCCAGTTTGACACCGCTTCGTGTCTCACGTGGGCCCACGTCACGTCAGAGTAGTCTGTGGGACGCTTTAGCCCTGTTGTTCCTACCTTCCCTTCCTTTTCTTTCTTTTTAACTATCTGTTTCTCAGTCTTCACTCTTCCTCCACCGTCGAACTTTGTAGCCGGGCGACGCTCTTCTTCATACCACGGTCCATGCAATCCAGTGATTCTTAATCACTCTATTTCGGATCACCACGGTAACACAAAGACAATGAATATTGTGACGTCAATATTTGCGAGCAGACCTAATAAATCTTTACCTTTTGCAGTCTTCAACAATTATCATTATAATAGACGCAATATCTAATCATTAACTTTGCTTTCAACCCTTCCACTCCAGGAAGGAGCCAATTCTGCTGTGTCGTTCACTTAATGATACTATCTATACTCATTTTCGACTATTCTAACCAGTTAGACTAATGAAGCTAAAAGTTGACACAAGTTTCTATTTGGACCTATGTTCTGTACTCTAATCTAGAAATTCTGAATCATTCTATTTCAACGGATAACTAAACCGTGGAGATGCCAACTCTGTGTTATTAATGTCTGGCAAGAGATCTAATAAATTTTTTGTTTGGAAATTTGCATCTATGATTTACTAATTGCACAGTTTCATAGAATTTAGTGACACTATCTTGACTAGTTTTGAAAAAAAGCATTATACGATTAAAAATTTGCTACACTACACTGATAAAAAAATTAGTCCCAAACTCAGACCACTACTTAAATTGTATTATTTATTCACTAATAATTGAACAACGAACATAAAAAAGGACGAAGTGCAAACAAATTGGGTCACGAAAAGGAATTATAAGTAAACGATACAATTTATAGTACTTCGTGCAGTTACAAGTAACAAAACACACAAAGCGAAAGAGAAAACTATACATTCATAATCAAGAATTGGCCAGGTTCTTCCTTTTTATCGCGAAAACTATTAAGGCTGTTATTTAGACCTATGTATTTTCAACTTCATTTGCAAATGACTGAATTATTGCTAATATTCTTTCCGCAATTTTTGGCAACAATTATTGAAACAGAGGACTAAATGTACTAATAAAAATGTGTGTGTTGGGTATCGGTAGTTCAATGTTAAACTATCTGTCGTGAGTTTCGTAATTAAGAATCTTCTTCTAAACTGTACTACGAGATTTAAAAGGTTAAGAACCACTGCTGTAACCATACATATACAAGAACAGGCAAGATTAGAGGGACGATGGTTTCAGCTTCGACCGTCCTGGACCTATGGATTCTTGAGGTCAATTCGCTTTGGGGCATCGTGCTAACCGCACCGATGAAGCCTTCTACCCGGAAACGGTTTCTATTGGTCTCTCGCAGTCGATCCTAGAGTAAAGGCATTGCTGCCTCGTCTCGAGTCTCTTCTTCGTTTTCCGGTTACGATCGCTCATAGGGGTTTTATGGTTTCTTTGCTCGAAGGCGAAATGTACTCTTTGTATTGACAGCTTGTGCTAGCAGCATAAATATGGCACTACTATGATTTCTATGATGTGTCAAATCTTTTTAGAAAAATTGAACCACGTAAATCATCTACGATGTACTAAATTTTATATTTAGAAATAATTGATCAAAAAGTCATCTAAATGTTGTTATTGCATATAAAATAGTGTTAACAACTCCAGTAATAGATACATCAGCAGAGATCCATCTCAAAATTGAAAATTATAAAAAGTTATTTACCTAATAATTGATACACGAGTAGTTCAAAACCCTCAAACGATACTAAATATGCAGCCATCAGCGACGAGTTGATGAAAAAAATTAGAAAGCTCTGAAAAGCGTCGATTCCTTATGAACTCAATGCGTTAAAACATGTTAATGGAATTACAATCAACAACCACTGCAAATATTTCGATATCTTCGGTGATCCTCCAGCTGATCTAACGACCGTTTATTGGCATCCATAAATATCAAAAATTTTCCATGGCATTAATTTCCAAAAAATAATTCGATTACAGTAACCAAGATCCTCACCCACCTCGCCATCAATGAAAACGGAAGCGGACAAAGCAGATAAAGAAGTAGCCAATTTATCATTTTCCAATCAATGCAACAAGAACCTGCCACCAGAAACTCTAGTCCTTTACATAAAACCAGAAATAGAAGAAAATTGAAGGTACAATAATAAAAGACTTCTTCAAAAAAAGTATAATCCTCTTCCAAGATACGATCAGGTCGTGATCTCAGGAATTATACTAGGCCATACGAAGTTTCATCTACTCACCAATACCTCTTTATTAGAGAGAAACCCCCAATGTGTGCACAATGCAGTGGAACATACACACAAAATTCTTCCAAAATTTAAAAATGAAAACGTCCAGCGGTTCAATTAAAGCAGTGGTTCTAGCGGGAATCGTAAAAGTTTGGGCGTTTTTATTGTCTCTATCAATATTGTCAACATTTTTTTCAGTCTGTCCAGTCCAAGAATCTAACAAAATAACAGAGTTTTCCCCGATGTTTGGCAAAAAAGCGTTTGCAAGCGCAGAAACGATTGGCTGCATAGTGTAGCTGTGCGTCAGAGAATTCAAAGTTATGCTGATTTCTAATTTTTTTGCAATTTTCGCACTTTTTAACAGGGTGTAAAATGTTTGAAAAAATGCGAAGGCCATATTGGATCCGCCATTTTTAATTCTTAAAAATGGACTTGAGATTCGTTATCGGCAACCCCAAAAACCCTTACTTACTTGATTTCGCAACAATCGTAAAAATAATTCGTAAAATAGTCGAACCCACCTCCAAATTCGATAAGGGTAATTTCAGGAAAATTGTCGTATGACACTTTCCTAGTCTTACTAGTCAGACTTCGATACATTTATAATCTTGATCATAACCTTCAAGTTGCTATTCCGAATGTCAAGCATCCACCTATTTCCAAATCCGGCGTCATAACTAGAGATATCCTTGGAATAGGTATCCCTATAATTAACCCTGAGGTAAAATTTAAATCATGGGTCCTTTTTGACCACTGCAATTTGTACCCGTGTTATGTCTTACGACCATAGATATAGTAAGCTATAAAACAAGACCATGGTACACTGGACTTGGTCTTTCCAGAGATTTTTTAGTTTTCGTTAATACATTTCGAGTCAACCACTATAATTTAAATGGGTCATTGGCAAGGGTTAACTTTATAACTAACAGTGCTTGTCAGTGTGGAGCAGAAATCCAAGACCTGAATCATATTATATGGCAGTGCCCAGACTATGAAAACGAACGTAAGGCATTAGAAACAAATCTGCTTAAAAGCAAGTACTGTTTCCCTCTTTGCATTAGTTCCTTCCTGTTTAAACCTGATATAAAAGGTCTGAAAATGATTTATAACTTTTTCAAACAATGTTCGATAAGAATTTAGAAATTATGTAACACCTATATACTTGGTGTCCCAAAAATGTTGTAACACATTGAAAGGGGTGGTTCGGGAGGTGATTTGAAACAACTTTTTCGTTAGCGAAAATGTTCGCTAGGCTTCGTTAAGGAGATATTAACAGAAAACCCTGACCAATCAGAGCGCGCGTATGCCGTTAGAGCATAATTGCCGTATGCCGTAAGAGCATTTCTTCGATACGCGTCGAGTCACTTGTTCGCGTACGAGCGCGGCCGCTTAGCACATAGCCTTCGCTACCGCAGCCGCTCCAACGGTATACGCGCGCTCTGATTGGTCAGTGTTTTCCGTTAATATCTCCTCAACGAAACCTCGGACAACATTTTCGCTAAGGAAAAAGTTATTTCAAATCACTTTCCGAACTACCTATTTCAAAGTGTTACAATATTTTTGGGACACCCTGTATATAGTTGTAAATAAATATATATATAATAGTTGTAAATAAATAGGTGAAATGAAGTACATTCAAGTTATACTCTAAGTCATATTGTAAAATAACCGTGTATGTACTATATAATTTGTAATGTATATGCTATATAAACCTTGTATGGTTTAAAGCAATAAATAAATAAAGAAATAAATAAATAAATAAAACGAGACCATATCTGAACGTAAAATTTCCAACTCTTTCCGAATCTGATCTCAAAAGTAAGGGTTCCTATATGAGAAATGAAAGTTGACTTCTAAATAACCTTTAAGGTCAAAGTCAAATGCGAGGTTACAGAAAAACATAACTTTTTCAATCATAAAATTGCGCGTCGAGTCGCTTTTTCTAATAATGGAAAGAATCTGAGATAAGGGATAGGTCTGTTACTTTTTCAAAACCTTGTATATCATCATACACTACAGAAAATATATTAGAGAAAGACAACAATACGACATCGTAGTTTCTCTAAATAACAACCTAAAGAATAACGAGTTAATTTAGAATGGACTATTAACTAAAATAGACCTTCCAGGGCATACTATTATAACTATCAGGCAACTAAGAAGTTTTGTCGTTTTTCCGGAAATAAAAAGTGAGATATAGTTTGTTAGGGTAATTAAACATGAGGTTACATAAACCTATGGGTATTTAATAATAATAATAATAATAATAATACGAAAGAATACACATAACTAATATAATAAATGAATAAGGTAAATCGAAC